CTCTCAGATGGAGCAGTCCCATGTGGGTTGGTGAAAACAAGCAAATAGAGAGAAAAGAAGGAAAAACGTCCATATGCCTATCAGCACGCGTGACAGCCATGTCATTTAAAACAAAACACATCCATAAATAGACAACCCACTCTCTTCATCCAAGACATCATGGTCCTTCTAAAACCCTCTTAAATACACAACCCTCTGCAACAAAACAAAAAAAAAATGGCTGTGGACACAGTCGGCTAAACATGTCAATGACGTTTCTTTCTAATCAGGCCATGCATTAACTGCTTGTGCTGTTTTTTAAACAAATGCATGGATGCATAAACTCTCTGGGCGATTACAAAAATCATTGATGCAAAAGGAACACAGAGCCACAGCTTTTTGGCCAGCTCAGGAGTAAAACTGATGATGCTTGAGGAAAGTGACACTCTACCGAGGAAAACAGAGAGAACAGTGCCTACAGAACAGCCCGAAATGCACATTCCTCCATGGGAGTGCTGTGTAACTGAAGCTCCAGGTGTTGGTGCCACACTTCACTGACTGACTGTCTGACTGACTGACTAACTGAAGACTCTGCTAATTAAAAAAACATACGACTGACAGAAGAAGCAGACGCAGTAAAAAGACGACTTGAAGCTGACAGTTCACCACAGTTGTGGAGCTTAGTGTCTGTTTTTATTTGCAAATTAAATCTACATTTATGCATGACTCATTCTTCGGAAACTTCTGAGGTAATGGAGATGTTAGCTCTCTGACAATATCAGAACAATCAAACATGTGATGTTACATCATATTAAGCAATAGCATATACTGTACATCTTGTGGCAGATAAAATGTTTGAAAACTCTCAAGGACTTCCAAATAAGATGGAAATACAAAAATATGTATAGGTCAGAATATCACAGATACTTGGGTGTGGTTTCAACCTAGAAACCAACCAGAACAATCTGTTGACCACCTAGCAACCATCAACATGCTAAAACTTCAGATAATCAGAACACTTTACCGACTGCATAGTAACGTTCTGGCAACCACACAGTTGTAAATAAATACAAAGCACACACAAATATACTTTGTACTGAATTAAATATATTTATAGACAGGTTAATTACAGTACTTAGATGTAATTGGCTAAGTGGCATTTCAAGAGTCATGATATACAGTTCAACAGCAGGATGTTTCACTGCTTCCAGATAATCTGTGGTAAGGATTCTTTGGGAAATCTTTCTGTAGGTTACATTGTTAGGCAATAAGTGACTATCTTTAAGAATGAGCCATTTAATTCAACTGATTTGTTTAAAACACTGAATCATTCAGAAATGAAATAAGTCACTTATCTTTATGAGTGAGTCAATGAATCATCCACTCAACCTATTAGTTCAAAAAATGTATCCATTGTGTATTGTATCCACAGAGTGTGTGTGTGTGTATATACATATAAATAATTATAAAATTATTGTGGTCTAAATAGGTACTTGGTTTTGGATCCAACAATTATGGAATGCTATCTAGAGACATTGCCATCAAATCTCAATTTCAAAAGCTCTCATTTAGAGGACATACATTGGATAGAGGATAGAGATGAAATCAAGATGAGTGGAGGTGTTGGGCAAAGAAAGTGTCCCAGCATGCCTACACATGCTACATGTTGGCATCTCCATGGGACAAGTTCTCACAGGAGGGTTGGCAGTAATGATCATGACACATTGCTGATCTGAAAATATCAGCCAGACAGCAAAGGATGCTTCACTCTTCACCGCTGCCTGCATCTCTCCAGTCATTTTAGGATCAAATAATTATCATCCTTAAAATCGAATTATAATTTGCTTTACTGACATATTAAATCATTTCCAGAATACATACATTATGTGCTAAACAATATAACAGTTACAGTAGTTCCAGTTCGTCCCACCCAATGCCAGGAGCAGATCCATTATGTCAAGAGAGTATTTGTTGGTGTAACATAACCTAAACCGCAGAGAAGTGCCCTCTGACCCTGCTATGGGAAAGTTCTATACCCCATGTGTGTGTGTAGTTGGCTCGCAACATACTCCCCAACAAACGGAGAAAGATGCCGGCTGTAATTTCCCTTACTTTTCTGTGTTTCTAAATGTTAAAAGGTCTAACTTCCCTCGCAGACTGATTATCCACCAAAACATTTGTGCTCCAAACAGCCCGAGTCGCTGACACAAGGATGCAAGGATGGGTGTAATATTGCAGTGCATGGTGAAGGGTCCCTGTCGACTTGACTGCATATTTCTTCTGTGAGTTGGTGAGGAAATGAGCGTGAGTGTGTGTGTGTGTGTGTGTGTCCTAGCACAGTTAACCAACTGGAGGAACAGATGGACTCCCCACTCTCCTTGTTGTGAAGAAACACAGCATTTACACACACACACCTCTCAGAGCAGCATTCAACTCTAAACAGGATATGCTGACATGTTTATGTGGGCCTATTCATACATTTAATTAGAATACTCAAACAACATTTGTTTCAGAGCGCTCATTATCTGACACACTGTAAGAATTTTTTTTTTAGGGGGGAAAATAAAGTTTTGTCTCAAAGAGATTATATCTATCTATCTATCTTTCTATCTATATGTCAAATGTATCAATATAAATATATGACACATTAAATATCAGAGAATAAATAAAACCTCATCAATGTTAGTAAGCTGTAGATAATGCTACCTTGGTGGTATATTTAAATCGGCAGAAATTGCAACATCACAGAAAATTAACTATTCAGGTTTTTATTACAGTATTGAAAGTTAACTTGCTTGCTAACCCAGCTAACATTATGCCAATGCAGTTCAGAGTTAAGCTGCATCACTCAGTTTAAGCAGCTCAGTTTGAGTAGGTCACATAAAACGCACAGCAATCAAACCCACGACCACTCCAGCATCTGTATGCAGAGGTCTGCGAAAGACACGCTGTGTAATGCAGTCGGGCCACTAACTAAACAAGTGAGAGAGTAATTGAGTGGGAGCGGGAGAATTAGGAGCATGACTTTAGCACATGCCAACCCGTGAGCTCAAGCTCATCCTTCTGAGGCCTGCTGGTGGGTGAGAGCAAATGTATTCGGAAGGCTTGTTCTCCAGTGGGTGCTAATGTATGGACTAGGGCGCTATTAAAAGCCACTACTGTGTGATATGCCTGTGCATTTAATTATTTATCTATTCATGTATTCCTCCTCTTTTTAAAGTCTTTTTGTCAGTTCTTGTGTCTAAGCCAGAAGCAAAGGCTAGAGGAGGAGTGGGGCTCAAGAGAATAAGATTACAATAAGAGCAACTCACTGTTTGATCTTTAGTAGAATAGACCTGACTCAAATACACCCCATCTTCTAAATCCCTTGCTCAACTACAACATTTCTAGGCCAGAAGTCTCTGGTAGGTGTAACTGATCGAATACATTCTGCCTATTGGTAGGGTAAAATGATAATGATAAACAGCACAACTGCATTTTTGGCTCAAGTCAATAGAATGCTGCAGCGATTACACATTTTTGTATGTTACAACGTGGGGCGAACGATTTTGCATTTTACCAGTTCTATTGTCTTGAAGTCAATGTTTTGTTATTATTATTATTATTATTAAATATATTATGATTATTATATTAAATGCCTGAAATAAGGTCTGTGGTTAACACAAGCTCAAGATATGTTCATGTTTTATTCTGCAACATAAAATAGATCAGTAATACCCCTCCCTTGTGAATTTTAAGTTTTTACTTTTCTTATAATTGGCTAAATGGGGCTACAGAGGTTGTTGGGGACATTAAACGTTCTAAAGCCGAACAGGAAAACTCATCTATTCACTACTCTGTTTTTTTTTACAGCCTCGGTGAGTTTATAATCAAACTGTTGCAAACTATTCTAACTCAAACTTTCAGGGAAAACTTTTTAAATAAAGACTGAAAGAGTTGTTGGAAGCTTAATGGTGGTGACGATGAAGTGTAGATGACAATGGTGTAGTTCGTTTATAGCCTACGTTCAGATGTTGACTTCTGACCACTGTATTTAGGCTTCCAAATTCATAAAAGCTGTGTTCATTTGTGAAGATTATCACGTAAGAATCATAAACTTTTTTTGGTCGCAGCTTATTTTCTATAATAATCCAAAAGTCAATTAAAAACACTGTTTGGTTTTTTGTCAAGGGAACTAGGGTGATGCTAACTTCCGGGTCGGCCTACAAAAATACATAATAACTGCATAATAACTATTGAAGCATGTTATTGGTCAGGCTGATGACACCACAAGTGACCACATCCAGGAAGTCCACACAGAAACAGATGTGCTTTGGCCAACTTGACCCCTTTCTGATCCTCTGACCCCTCCAGAGACCACAGAGAGCGATTGTGAGAGAAATACTCTTTCTGTTGATATGAACCACACCGCAGTTCTCTTATTCTTCGGCTGAGAGAACCAGGGCAATACTGGTGTGCATAAATAATTTAACATAGCATAAATATTACTCTGTCAGCACTCTAAAGCACCACCACAGGTGCCAGGATTTGTTTTCTTGTTTTTACAGGGAAAAATAATGCGACTGTGAGAAAGGCTGTGATTTACAACACAGTGCCACTCTCAGCAACTTCTGCGTGACCCCAACGAGTAAGTTAATAGAAAAGATTGAAAACATATAAGGCAGTCATTTAAAGAAATAAACAATGTCACAGCAGCATGCACAATACTGTAGTCTCATTTTTAGACACTGCTCTCCAACTTCATTCTTTACAAACACTAAGGCTGCAAGAAAGTACCTGCATCGAACACCTCCTTGAGGTAAAGCTTGACCTTTCATTCACTATCATGTATAAGTCCTACATTTTGTGGCAGAGTTGTCAAGGCCTCATTGTCTGACATTTATAGAAACCGCAGTCATACACCATCAGTCAGAACATAAAATGACTTCCATAACATGGAAATGGCCACTACGATGTTTATCACTTACTAACATTTGACCGTTTATTAACTTACTGCAGGTAAACTTTGTTGAGATGTTTACCTGATGTCGTTCTGCTGAGGTGGTTTCTTGTTCCCGACCAGGTTCACTGTTTTTGCTTGTATGGGCTTCTCCTCTCTGTACAAACACATTTTAGACAGTGACAGTAAATCTCTCAGAAATCTTAGCTCTTTTGTGTAAAATGATTCTAATGTTTTTTTTTCCCCTCCAAATAATAATATAGCCTAACTCTGCAAACATACATCAAAACACATGAACACCCAAAAATGAACATTCTGTCAGCAGAACACAAAAGAGGATTTAAAAAATAAAAAATTCCAAACTTATCTTCTTTTATATTCCACAGACGAAAGTTTTGTAATTCAGGTTTGTAATGCTAAGGGTAAATGAAGACATACTTCTCATTTTTGGGTGTCCCTTTAAGCTAGCACGCAAAGTATTGTTGTACTTCTGAATGCCTCAAAAGCGTTGTGAGGTCGACCTCTAGCTTCTGCTTCAGGACAGAAGTTTCTTTGAGATTGAGGAACTGTTTACCATTCAAACTGTCTCATAACACACACAGCAAATGAAAATGAGAGGTTGTTTATCAGTACACTCTACACTATAAGAGACAGATTATGTTGGTCTTTTTCTCATCACTATAAAAAATACTGTGTGACTGAAACTGTATATCATTTGACCCGTACTACCCATTTGAAAACGATGCATTTATCTTGACGATTTAGTGACAAAGATACACAAGGGCTGAGAAATTAAATAATTGCATAATAATTTCCTATGAGAAATATTGGACAAGGAGTGGTTAAGTTATTGATTGTAGCTGCTCAGTAAACCAATTTGAGATGCATAAATCTGATTTCAAATCTCAAGGTGGCCAACAACTAATGTAATATGAGCAATGATGGCCTTTAAATGGCAGGTGGACAGGAAGCCAAGAAACATCTCCACACTCACCATAACAACACTGGTGAACCACAATTCAGAATAAATCTTTATAATCCATTCTACATGTAAATTCCTGACAAGTGCCTGTCATATATCAGATCTCTTCAGATGGTATTTTTTCTAGTTTTCACATGAAGTATATGGTCCCTATTGTAATTAGTTATTCTCAAACACACTTTGAGCTGAATTCTTTGTATGAAAGATGCTGTACAAATAGTTATTATTAAGAGGATACTATTATTAAGAGGATCTAATAAGAAACGAAAAGATTAAACAGACAAGGAAAACACAAAGATGACTACTGCCTTTACCCAAGCTGTAAGTGGTGCTCACACTACAATCAGTGAAGATTTCAATGAATGGGTTAAGGATCCTGACGGTCATGATGACGAGGCACGGAAATATTGTCGTGACCAGGCAGGAATCCTGACACTGGTGGTGAATAGTGCAGAAAAAACGTTCACTAACCTATTGAAAAATATTGGTCAAATAAATAATAATGTGGCATGACACATGTGCTGCCTGAAATTAATCCATCACCCAGTGAGGTGTAAAACAACAGGGTGTATCGATTTGTAGATATTTAGTTCTTGCATGTCGACACACCCCTCTCTATTTACCAGCTACACCTGCGACCATTCACCTGGCTGTTCATTGCAATTCATCACACATAGAACAAGCTTGTTTCATAGTGATGTGTATAATACACACATAGCAGTGCTCATCCATGACAAGTGTCCATAAGGTTGGAAAAAGTGGACATGGCCAGACTCACCCACCCACTCTTAAAACACACACACACACACACACACACACACTGGAGCTCAGGTGCAGGCGTACAGCCTGATGGCTTTATTAGTAGGCTATGGCAAACAGATGCACCTACAGAAACCATCACAAGCTGTTTGCCTTTTAGTCTCCAGAAGCAGCACGAATACTACAGGCTCCCTATAAAGCGTGATGTCTTACTTGAGCATGGCCTCATCCTTCTCCTCTTCCTCCTTCTGCCGAAGCATCACAGCCATGATAATTTTCCTCTCCTCCTCGGTGAGGTGACTGAGGTCCGGTAGATCGGGCATGGAGCTCTGCGTTGTGGGTGGGCGAGGGCCACCGCGGGGCCCCACCGAGGCGGACATATTTTACCCCTGTATGATCGGTGCACAATCCCAGCTATGTAAACCGCTATTCAGGCCATAGTCCGATGGCTTATCTGCGGTTGTCGCGAGCGTGGCGAACCGTTCATCGTTGCGGCAGGCACCCACGGTTGTGCTTCTCTTCCTATACGGCTTTTTCTTCTGTTTCTCTCCCCCCCACCCCCCGCCCGCCCGCCTGCCTCTCCCCTCCAGGTCCAGTTAAGGGTAGTCCATATCTGATCCGCGGGATAAGTGCGAGTCGACGAGGGGGGTCTTGCGCTTGTTGATGAAGCCGCCTCGGAGCTCGGGCTCTCGGGTGGGATGATGGGAGCAAAAGGCGGAGTCCGCGCGGCGCTCGCTCTGTTTACCGAGCTCGCGCTGCTGCTGATGCTGCCGCTGTCAGGGAGACGGAATAGTCAATGGGACCGCAGCCCCTCAAGCGCGCGCACGCCTCCTCGAGACGGCCGCGCGCATCTCATTTGAGAATGGGGGCTCACTGCACGCGCGCACAGCATCCTATTTTCGCTCTCCAATCATAGCGCGCTGATGACGCGCATCATCCACCAGCAGCAGACGCTTTGAGATTCACCATGAGATTAACAACAGCGCGTTGCTTGCAAGTAGGCTACAAGTCGTGTAAATTCAGGACGCAACAGACGAGTGTCTAAAATTTAGCTAATAATGCACACTTAGAAACACATAGTAAATTGGGACAACTGGGACACTTAAGCTAATTATTTTTATGGTTAATTTATATTCTTTAAAACCTTTTTAGTTCACACTGCCCTAGAATGGGATGGCAATTGGGTTTAGTTCTGGCATTATTTCAGGGAGTGAAACATGACACATTTGCGCAACAATCACGTAATGTAAAATGACACTACATTCTGTGACAAAATGTGAGGGTAATTTGTGACTGTGATTTAGTTTTTATATGGAATATAACAATGAATAAAATAAATTGAATTATTTTCATACAATGCATGTAGGACATTTCATTCGAACACATTATATTTGTACCATCATAAAACCACAGTTCATAACCTGAGCAACTGTATTGAGTTAAAAGTTGTTGTAGGTCTATTAAAAAAGATTGTACACTTTAAAATACGATTGTTGCAATCAGCTATCACAACTTAAAATTTTGAATAACTTCTCTGGGTTGAACTTGAATAATTATCCATGTTTCCAGTTTAATAGAATTTTTAATTTCAAGTTGACTAAACTTGCATGAACACTTTTTTATTATTATTATTAATACAACATATTTTTACAGTGCGGTGTCCCACTTTGACACTAGAGATGTGAACATATTTTAAACAACTTATTAATAAATAATTATTATTTGGTTAATCAGATGCTGCCCATTAATATGGGTAGGCTAGCTGTTAACAACAATCTTCAAAGTCTCCAAAGTCGCTGTGTGAGTAAAAATATATATAGTTTAGGACATAGTTTATACATTAAAAAAAACAGACCTTTCAAATTGTCTGTATTAAAGCTAAAGATGTATTTAATCTGACTGTGTTCACATATGGAATGACTTCCTCAGTTCCTTGAAGGCCACAGCCCTGCAGTTTAGCTTCAATCCTAATTAATGCACCTGATCCAGCTAATCAGGCCTTTAGGCTTATTTGAAAACTACAAGAATGTGTGTTGAAGCAGAACTAAACTCTGCAGGCCTGTGGCCCCTCAGGGACCGAATTTTGCACACCTGAGGTGATGGTCATGAGAGGACTTTTATTTTGGTGTTTTCTCTGTAGCAGCCATGGCGGATATTTTCTCGTGACACAATCTGCAGCTTCCATGGCTTTCAATACACTTCTGCGATCTTTGATTTTTATGTTCCTGTCGATAATCTGGCGAGGAACCCTTGGTAAATATCATTTTAATGTTATGCATGTGGGCACGTGCACGTGGTACAGAATGACAAAAACGCTCCATTTGGATTTGTTGATCTGTTGACAGTTTAAAAAAAAAATTACATTCTCCTTGGACTTTATGTGACGATGGTAACGTTATGTCAGTTTGGGTGATAACAACCTGTAAACTAAATTATTAACGCATTTCGACAAGGCATTGTAAATTAACTTAAAATAGCCGGATTGCACACTGAAATGCAGTAGCCTACCTGTGGACAGATTTATTGTGATAGTAAATGATTTAAAAACCACTGACTTCTACTTACTGTAAGTAAATGTGTATGACATCTGGTCTAATAGTCATACAGTTTAGCCATGTGCAACGTAAATAATAGCTAAATATTATGTGTGTTGTGAAGCTGGTTTGTTAGGTCAAACAACGATCATACTGAAAAATGATATTCAAACCAACAGAACGATTGCGAGTGTTATTGCTTAAGTTAGTTAAACACACAAGTTAATATAGAGTAGCCTAAGTTAGCATACATTTTATTTTTGTTCCGCCTAAAGTACTTTTTTTTTTTTTTTTTTTTTTTTTTTTTTTTAATATAACGTTACATACAAATACCAATCCAAACAAATATAACAAACTTAAGTTTTACAACAACAACAAAAAATAAACGAATAAAAATACATTTAAAATATAATAATTGAATAAAACAGATTGCAGTAAAGTTTTATTTTTATTAACTTCAACTCTTCAGCTACAATAATTGTATAACCAGATTTTTTGTTATCAATACATAGTCAAAAATTAGACATTTAAACATAAAGAACTTAAAACATGGTTTAGAGTTACTTTTGCTTTTATGTAAATTAAATGTACCATATAAAATCATAATATCCGCAAAAAATATTTTTGATTCAAAATATAAAAGAACATCTTTACAAGTTATAATAACCAAATATATGCTATAAAGAATTTTTAAATGTAATTCTTCTTGAATCATGTGCCGAAAGTAGTTCTAAACAAAGTCAGCAGAATTTAATGACGTATATCTGACTGAAACGGTCCAGTAAACCCGTAATCAGAAAAGAGATGTCATTGCAAGAATAGGAAGTTACTTTGATTAAAGATTACTAAGGCACATGAATTAAAAAACAATAATGATGTGCACAGATAAATCATTGTTAATAAATACTGCAATATTCCATAGAAAATTGATTTCATGGTGACGTTAAGGATTGTGCTATGCCAAGAATATTTGCCATTTATGTATTTGTAGACAGATATGCTGCCTGTAGTGGTGGTGCATGGAGGTGCTGGTCATATTCCTAAAGAAAGAGTTGAACTCTCTACTATCGGTGTGAAAGAGGCAGCCAGGACTGGGTATGCCATCCTCCAGAAGGGTGGAAGTGCCATGGATGCTGTGGTTGAAGCAGTGACCTTCATGGAGAACAACCCAAGATTCAATGCAGGTACTCATAATATGCATGTTTAATTCATTTAATATATTTCATGCCTAATACTTAATTCTACATCCAGAATAAGTAGAAAACTTGGGTAATGCCCGTATGTCATAGGTCGGGGGTCAGTGTTAAATGTGAAGGGGGAAGTAGAGATGGATGCAATTGTGATGGATGGCAAGTCACTAGCTAGCGGGGCTGTGTCAGCAGTCCGAAGAGTGGCTAACCCTGTGCAACTGGCCAGGCTTGTCATGGAGAAGGTATTCTTGTAAAATTCATCATATACTTGTATTCCCAAAATACTGTACATGACCACCATGGGAGATTTAGTTTTGAGTAATCTACAGTTACCAAGATTCAAAAATGAAAAGTGATACACAGCACACAATAATTAAGGAATACTAGGCTATATGCTATCAACTGCTTTTTGCATACATTGAATACAACCATTAGATGATTTTAGAACACTTTACATTTCAAATAGGGAAATTAAATATGTAAATGATGTCTGTCCTCTCTCTGGAGACCAACCACTTGTGTCTGACAGCCGAAGGGGCCTCTAAGTTTGCCAGAAGCATGGGTGTACCGGAAGTGCCTGAGGAGTCATTGATCACAGACTATGCCAAGATGCGCTGGAAGAAGAACCTGGAGCCAGATGCCAACCCTGTGGAATGCCAAATGTAAAGCTTTTATGTAATGAAAACTGGTACAAAGTGCTGACATAATGTTTTTGGCATAAGATGTCTAATGTCTAGAACTTCTACTAAGAAAAAAAGTCGCAACAATAGTTAAAGGGATTGTTCACCCTAAAATGAAAATTCTTTCATCATTTACCTTCATGTTGCTTCAAACCTGTGACTTTCTTGCTTGCTTGTAATATCCATATTATGTCAACACAAGCACACATACATACCGTACATATGTGTCCATTGAAAAAGAAAAATGTTAGAGGAAAGTCAGTGGTTTGCATGGTATTTTGTGCATTCATTTAAAAGGTACATTATATACAAAGTTTTGTCATGAAACTCTAGAAGGTGTTTCTCAAGGGGGCTTAGTCCTCAGTGAGAATGTGTAACAAGAGACCATTGCCTAAATGGTGCCATTTTGTAAATTAAATATAGTAAGTCAAAAGTAGCCTACAACTTAAATTGGTACCAAGCTAATACAAACATTTTATAAATTATATAATGATACCAGTCTTGCTGCAGAACAGTTCAAATCAGTACACGTGTAGGCAATAGTCAGTATTGTCAGTAGCAAGTCCCGTATTTGCTCTGCAGCAGCAACAATAATAAACAGCAGAAGAGTAGCAGATCACTCCTAAAGTTGTCATGACAGAAATTAATTAGAAATTTTGTAATTGTTTATTGACTTTATCTAATTTCTTTCTTTATTTCTAGTCAGCTATTCCTTTGCCACCACTTAGTAGGCCATTTTGTTTGTGTGTGTTTTTAAAGCCATTTTTTTGTGCGTGTGTTTCAGGGGCAAGATGGGAACAGTAGGTGCAGTAGCTGTGGACATAGACGGAAACATTGCTTGTGCTACATCCACTGGTGGAATGGTTAATAAAATGGAGGGTCGTGTGGGAGACACGCCGTGTGTTGGTAAATCCAAACCTGCTGCTTTGTAGTGTATGTAAGGGGTGTTGAGTTCTAGTTTACAAAGTTGGGAGGAATCAGCCTACAATTGCTTACTTATTGCTGTTTCTGTATATTGAGCTGAAATAGAAGAAAATATTTAAATTGTTGAAAAATTGCACCTTTAATTTGACTAAACCTAAGCAGCTAGTGTGACAGGGATTGAACTTTGACCTTTGGACATGCAGTAATGTAGGTAAATTTCAGCTGCTCATGAGAGCTTGTTGCCTGCTGAGTTAATATTCAAACCACAGATTTAATCCCTAGCTCAGCACAGGACCCTCCACATACATTCTCTCAGGACACACTTTAACCTGTGGGAATCACACACACACACTAGTTAATGATAGATAAAAGAGCTGCTATTGTCTGCTTAATAAGTAAATAAACAAAAATGAAAAAGACAGATGCTTTATTCTCGGTTATGCAGTGATTATTATCAGGGTTTGCCTCAAATAGGTGGATGGTTATCTGGAGCAACAGGTTTGCTGAGTGTGTGTGTGTGTAGGAAAGATCTCTCTCAAGATCTTTGTTTCTATCTCTAATTCTCAGGATGTGGTGGCTATGCAGATAACAAGATTGGGGCTGTCTCACCCACAGGACATGGGGAAGCCATTATGAAGGTCACTCTGTCCAGACTGGTTCTCTTTCACATGGAGCAAGGCATGTGTTACAAGATCAGCACAACCTATTTAGCATAAACAAACAAAGCTTTGGGATATTTTTCACAAACAGAATTACCATAGTTTTTACACGAGTATTTATTTTAACTATGAACAGACTTTTCACTATCTGTAATACTTGATTCTGATTGGTCAGTTGTATTAGGCGGTCAATTTTATTTATAATGTCTGCTAAACTGTATACACTTCCGTTCAAAAGTTTGGGATCAGTACTATTTAAAACAATGAATGAATATTTTTTTTTCTGCAAGGACACATTAAATTGATCGAAAGTGACGATAAAGACATTTATAATGTTATAAAATGTATCCATTTCAAATAAATGCTGTTCTTTTGATCTTTTTATATTTATTAGCAAATCCTGAAAAAATATTATCATGGATTCCCCAAAGATATTAAGCAACACAACTGTTTTCAACATTGATAAAAATGTAAAATAAAAAAAAAATGGTTAGTTTGAATTGTAATATTATTTCACAATATTGCTGTTTTTACTGTATTTTTTGATCAAATAAATGCATCCTTGGTGATAAGAGATTTCCTTCAAAAACATGTACCTCAACTTTTAAACGGTAGTGTATTTCATAATTGTCTATGGCAATAGTGAAATGCATTTCATGTCTCCCATATTATTGCTTTTTTCATATTAGCACAAGTTATAAAAGCTGAGTATCAAAACAAATGATTTCGAAATGTATTTTAAAATAATCTTGAAGAACTTTGGTAATCATTTTAATATACAGTACTTGGTAAGCATGAAGCTCAGGAGTCCACAAGACACTTTTTTTTTTTTAATTACTAGGAACTTGTGAGAGACAGCTAGAGCTGGATTGGAGGGAACTTAAAATTAGACAAAGACGCGTAAGATTGTAATTAAAAAGGTTAATTTAAAACTAGTTTAATACTAGAAAAAGTAACTGGAACTACAGATCAATAATACATAACTGTGCACAAGTGTAAGAGCTTTGCATAAGGATGGGGTCAAAATAGACCTGTCTGGGTTTATTTTGCGATAATCCCTGTCCTATAGTACATAATACTAGACACATTTATCGTAATATATAAAGAAAAGTTAAACTAGCCATATGGCCAACTGATATCTCTCTTCCTGTGTACTGTGCACTTGTAATCAGCAGTTTTAGTATTTTTACGGCATGGCATCTATAAATGTCACATCTTGGACCATAAGTCAATCTGCATTGTAATACTGATTTAGAAGCAACAGGTATATTGACATGAGCTCAAATGGACTGTTCGCATGTGTTCATGAATAGCTGTGAGAATGATTGCTAGCAGCATTTTAGCCAGTGAATAAACAGCTTGAATTACTTCAGCTACACATTAACTGAGATCGAGGGCCTCATTAAGATGCTTGACCTCAAGTCTGTTTAGGTAAACATTGCTCACTTCATGGGTCTGAGCAAAACCAATTTGAGCCAGTCTTTTATGGTGTGTTTCGTAAAACCTCCTCCAGCACCACTTGCAATGAGTAGACGCATGGAAGTCAGTGGTGTAGAGCTGTCTGAGCAGTAAAGTGAAGATTAACCAGTCTGTACATCCTCAAAAGGACATTTCATATAACAGGGCCTCTTTTTATCCAGCCAGTATCTTTTGTAGTATGAGTTAGCCTTTGTTTTCTGTTGAGGTGATTTGAGTGTGCATGCTTTTGCCTTGTGTGTGTGGAAACACAACGGCAAGTATTTTGCTGATCTCGCCTTTTTTTTATATGTGTTAAATGGGCGGAGTGTTGATAAGATTTATTTAGTCTCACCTGAGATCCATTCCATAGCAATTAAACCATTTTCATGATCACCTTCCTTATCGTGCACTTTATGGTCACCTACATCTGGCATCTGGATCTGGAATGATAATACAATGCACTAGCTTGATAATATAGTTAAGTGTGTATTCTTCTATGTTCTCTAGGGAAAACACCAGAGGAAGCGAGTGACCTGGCTCTTGCGTATATGAAGGAGCGGGTGGAGGGTCTCGGCGGGGTGGTGGTGGTAGATCCCAAAGGGACCTGGGCAGCTCGCTTCAGCAGTTTACAGATGTCATGGGCCGCTGCCCAGCAGGGTGAACTCCACTTTGGGCTGTACCATGGTGAAGACTTTGTAGAGCCTGTACAAGAGCACACATAATGAACACATGCACACGCACACACACACATATATATATATATATATATATATATATATATATATATATATATATATATATATATATATATATATATATATATATATATATATATATATATATATATATAAAATATATGTATGTATATTATGTTTATTATATTTTTACAATCAGTATTGAATAGAAAGGGAAATATGTAAATCAGTGTTAGTGTAAATGCATACATTCCTCATAGCAGTGATATTGTGCATCTATTAAGCGTTTTGAAGTTGATCATCTTTACACTTAACAGTAAAGCAATGTAAGTCTTACACAGATTGTTTGAAAAGAAAACAAATCAGTATTATAACACTCCTTATTAGTCTTAGTGTAACTGTCCCAAGTGGTAGTACTGCATGTTCTCCACTTGATGGAGATAGATTATGTTCTTTGGAGTCAAGTGAGTGAAATTTAAGGTGCAGTTCACATTTAATAATAATTTACAAAATAGTAGAGATAAAAAGTGTTTTACATGTACTGTAAATGACACTTAAGAAAGTCAGAATATCTTAAAAAAATAAATTACCAGACTATTTTTTTGAAGAATAGAAATCATGATTCATTCCTGAAGTAGTTGAGTGTGTCTTTTTCTTCAAAAGACTAAAAGAGAAAGCAACTTATTAAATCAGCACAAATTTTTTTTAACCTATAAATAATTTTGACATGTAAATAAACAATGCAGCAGTTCATAATCTTTTGTGAGAAAGTGTGCACCAGAAGAAACTTTGTAACATGTTTTAAATGGTGTGTTGGAATCATCACACCATTTATACTGATTCTTTTGGAAGGTGAAAACATGCAGAAAATAAACTTGTTGGTGTGGGTCACTTGTGTGCTATTTTAAGTTGACAGCCCAGATACAGATAACATCAGTTCTGTTGTTTTCATGTACAGTATAGTGAGGTGACGTGGCCCTTATGACAGTTTAAGTACACAAGCTCCTGCTTATTGTGTCAACACGTAGGCCAGCTTGCAAGTTCCCAACTGTGAATTGTCTTCATAATAATCTAAAACCCAAAAACCAGTTTTTCTGCCCTCGGCGGTCAGTTTGTGTTCAAAATATTCCACATGGGAGCATGCAAACCAACATCAACTTTTGTCCTCTCAAAGACATGACCGACAAGTCATGACCTCTCTGTCCTTTTGTGTATTATTTAACTCTTAAATGGGCAGGAACTTAAAAAAATATTGTATTTATTAAGTATATATCAAATAATAAAATGTTAAGTTGTACATAAAAATACAGTTTATCATCAGGTTTAAAGTTTGAATCTTCTATGAAAATAGTGTAAGAAATAGCAGCATTTACCTCAAGGTCAGTGACCTTCGTGGGGCATGGTGCCATGATATATTTAGATAAAGACGGTGAGTTGATGCCACAATTTTTATTCCAATTTACTTAACCTAAGAAGTTGCATAGACCTTTCTATATTTTTCACTGAAATTTTGTCTACTTACTCACTGTCCCTCCAGAATAACGGGATGGTTAAAGTGTATTTTTAATAAAATAAAATAAACATCCAAGCATTTCGGATGGCTTGTTGATTTTTTTTAAGTGGCTTTGATTGTCAATATATACAATCCATTGATTTTGATTATATCAGCATATACAATGCACTGTTGAAAAAAGCAAACAGATATCCAGAGAGATTTTAAACAGAAATAAAAGTATCCAAGCATATATGGTTTGGTACAGAATCAGTTGCAATGTGTCCATTTTGAATTAACCTATGTAAATCCATTCATAATAGCAGATTTGTGATACACGTAAAAATGCTCAAATAGATATGGAAAAAATAATAATAAGAAGAAGAAAACTGAAAAGTACTGCGGTCAAGAGGTCATTCAGTGATTGTAATAGCTGGCACCATCATGGATGAAAGCGCTTCGCCTGTTGATTGGTCAGGACTCGACAGCGATGACAGAAAAGGGGCGGGCCGAAGCGCAGGAATCCGCATAGAAAAAGTCAGGAGTGACAGATTGCCCGGAGTGGGTGACAGCTTTACAGTGCGCTCGAACGAAGAAGTCAAGCAGCCTTACAGCTAAGCTTACAGTTGCCATCTTACAAAGCTTTATTATAGACTCTAACGCCGTATCTACACTGTAAAAGAGCGATGCGACGCTATAAAACTAACGAAACCACTATAATATTAAGTAGATTATAACGGTCGCTTTCTATTTTTGTCGCGTCGCGTGCGGTAATTACGCACTTGTGGCGGTTCCCAACAGTTTATGCAAATACATTCTAACGTTACATGTCTGCTTTGACCAAGAACCTTAAATGACGTGAGGACGGGGTTTTTTGTGAAGTTGAAGACATGATAAAGTCATTATGAAGACGACGAACGCGGCGATTATCAGTCGAAGTAGAAGACATCCTTTCTGGACATTTATGCATTTTCTCACTAGGCATTTTTGCTGTCACCGCTGGAGGAAAAGTCACGGACATCTGCGAAGAAGTTTGTGTAAAAAAGTTCCTCGGACGGATCTTTCTTAGAAATACATACATTCTGACTTTAACTTTGGTGAGTGTTCAGTTAATTTTCTGCATTAGCCTAAGTGTCTCTATTTAATTAATAAAGAAATTCTGCATGGCACTGACTGCACAGCTGTGTCCAGGAAATGGCTCAGTAAAGAAAAAAAAAAGTTATGAAATGGTGAAGCACAATATAGCCTAACTTATTCATTTAATCAATGTATGAGACAGGAGATTAATATCAACACTGTTATTTGCCTGTAAGCACAAGGCCACAGGTAATCACTTGATGGTTGCTGATTATCAACACCACAGGCATATTGTAAGTATTTCAATAATAGAATAAAGGTACATAACCAAGTAATCAATATTATAGTTTTCCGGTTTCTGTATGTTTTATCTCATCTGCCATTCAAGCTATTGTGTGGTGTTAACAAGCAACTCGCACACTAAAAGCCGGCCTGGAGCGGTGTGTATGAGTGGAGCAGAGTCGGTCAGAGTATTCCGTGTCCGGGTTTTCCATTTTCTGCACAGTAGTGAGAGAAACCCAATCAGAGAGATCAGCGGGCGCGCGCGAGAAAACATGACGCTCTGACTTTCAATAACATCTGCTCTGTTCAGAACTTTCTTATACTGTCTATGGTTCAGAACTCCGCTTTCATAGTCTTTAGTCATGGCAGACGCCATATTGAATTTTATACTGTATTAGGGATAGACCATAATGTACGTAGGCTACTGTATAAAGGTAAATACAGTGTAGCCTACTTCTTTTCCTCACATCCTCGTTTTTATCCCTTAAAATCAAATATGGCACTACCCTGACTATTTGAGAGAGAGAAACACAGATGCTCTAGCTTTAAAATTAAAATAAAAAGCAAGAGGCCCCTAACTACCTAGAAATCTGCTCGGGAATATGCCATGAACACACAGGTGATATTAGCACATTTAGAAGGCAGCTTTGTCAGTCAAATTTAATTTGATCGTTTGTTAATTAAACATATGTAATATGTTATAAGTGAAATTGTATTAATTATTATATTTGAATAGGTTTATGGAAATATTTTAAATATAAATGTAGTTAGCTCGGCGAAGACGCCTTTATCCAAAGCAGTTAATTAATTTAATTTAATTTAATTAGATTTTTTTTTTGTCATGTGTGCTTTTAAGTCTCATTGCACCAAGAACGATAACTATAGGCTAATGATTTAAAAAAAAATCATGCTTTTTTCTTTTGTCAAATCAACTTAGATAATTTATGGGGTTTAGATAAAAATATTTTAAGTTTCTGTTGGTTAAACCAATCTCCATTGTATTAACTCAGTTATGTCTCACTGCAGTTAGGCCTATGTCGTCTTCTGCTTTGAATGCTTATGGATCCTGATTTTCTGTCAGTGTTTTTATCCGTTCATCGTGAAAAACATCAGCTGGAAAAAACATTCTGAAAGCGATTCTAGCCACAATATTGTTCCACTGTGTCGTTAATTGTTAGGCATAGAGTTGTGATGTGGACTTCTTTATAGAATTGTAACGATTATTGAAACGTTGTTGTTATAATTATCATTATAGTTATCATTGTTGGTGTGAATGGATGTTTTTTCTTTGAACAGTTGCAAGAATATGTAGGCCAGCATTTCCTTTTTATCTTACTGTCACATCAGTGCCACACTTTACTTATTTTCTATGCATCAGTGAAATAGCCTATCAAAAGTAACCTTGCTCATTCATTACTGCACAAAGATGATTTGAAAATCAGATTTTGTGTTGGCATTGTAGTTGGGTGAGTTGGCATGAGGCAATGGAGGACAATGTGTCGAGACCCATTCATTAAACCCTTCATAATTGCATTTAACATGTTAAGTAAGTCTTTTTCATCTTCGTTCCATGTCTGTTTTATCACTTCTAATTCAGTGACGCAAAACAGCCGGTAGAGTGTAAGTGTCGGGTGGCATGACTTCCTGTTGACCTCTAAAAGTTAGCGAACTTAGCGTTTTCTGTTAATCAGTGTTCTGGTGACACAGATGACTTGTTCTCTTGCTGTGAGTTTCGTGCCTGGAATCAGCGAGCTGTGTTTAACTGCCCGTAGAGTGCAAAGAAGTGTGACCTTCAGCAAGGTCAGAGAGGCCTTCGCTCATCTGATTCAGCTTCGGGCAGTTTTGGGTTCCTGGAAAAAAATTAAATAAAGGAGAGAGAAAGTTAAAGCAATGCCAGTGAATGGAAACAAGTGATTCTGTGTGGAACAGGTAAAAAATCAATATGTTTTCTCACATATAAAGTGCATGCCATTAAAATAGAAATGGGACAGTGTTTTTTTGTTGTTGTTTTTTTGCGTTTAAACTATAGAAAACACAAAAAGGAAAATCAACAGGAAAAGATCAAGCGAATAGCCTGACATATTTGCCATGTCTCTGTTTGTTTTATCCATAGCTGTATTTTTATTTGTTAGTGTAGACAGCAGTGATTCAATTATTTGAAGAACATTTTCACAAAACAGTCAAATGCATAGCAAATGTCGTC